ATATCTAGAAAAATGGAAAAGGTAGGCTTCTAGTAATTTTCCAGGACATTATCCATTATAACCAGTTAAACCGAAACACAAAATACAATGTAAAAAAAATTGTAATCGTTCAAAAATGTGTAAATGTTCAATAATCCAATGTTGTATATAAAAAGTTATTTATATACTAACATTATATTATGCATTTATATTATTTTACGAACAAATCTAAATTAACATATACAAATATATTTTTTTACTGAGATTTGATGATTGCGTCGTGATTACGTGATGACGTCATCGCGCAATGACATCACAACGTCATTTAGCAACTTTTAGCAACAAATCGTCCTTTAGCAACTTCCCCTGAAAAATTAGTTGGCAACAGTAAATAGTGTTACTTAATGCCTTATAGTTGTATTTAGCAGAGCAGAGTTTATTTGAAGTATTCATGTTATAATACTATTATATAGCACACTGCACAGAATATCGAGCTCCCTAGTGTGCAAAACAAAGCAGCAGTGTGGCGGAAACACGAATGAATTCAAAGCAGCAGTGTGTTTGAGCTCGTCCTCTCTGACCTGCTGCAGGCGCAGTCTCCTGCTCCTCATTCGGGCTGAGCCTCAACACTTCAGCCCTCATTTCACACCGCCTTTCTGTGCTTTAGCACCATACTTCACCGAGTGCGACTGCGCTCCAGCGGCTCCTTCCGCCGGCGACTGCGTCACTTCCGCTGTTTAAATCACCCGCGGCTTGAATTATTTATTTGTTCGCGAAACATTCAGCAAACACTGTCACGCACGAGGGAGATAAACTAGTGTAACTTTTCTTACAAATATAAATGAAAATAACAGAAAGCATTCCTTTTCATGCTAAAGAGAGATGAGAACAGTGTTGGGTGTAACTAGTTACTGTAATTTAATTACTTTTCCCTTGAAAAAGTATTTAGAAATATTAGTAATAAGTAATTACATACTTTTTGGAGAGAGTAATTTGTACAGTAATCTAATTAGACTGTTGAAGATGTAATTAGTAGCTAGTAATTAATTACTTTAATTTACCCAACATTGGATGATAATTATTTTCCTCATTTACAAACGAACAGTCGTGATGTTTAAATTACAAATAAAATAAAATAAATTGATGGTTAATTATTGTCAATTATATTCAAATAAACTGATATGAATAGTTAAAAAAAAACACTTACATATACAAAATAGAAAAAAAAAATTCGTAAAACTCGTTTAAACTTTGACCCCTGCCACGCCTCGCGAGATTTGAGCAGCAGCACGGCGCAGTATCGCATAGCTTGAGAACTAGAACGCAAACAAAGAAAGAAAAGCAGAAAACCGAGTCACTTCGTAGATGTAAGTATGTGGCGGAATATTTAATCTCTGACATGACTAAATCTGTCCGCTCATGTCGTTCTGTGTGTACGAAGCGTGTATCAATGGCTGTCTCAAACCCTAATGTGTGTCCTCCATCAGTTCTGGGCACTATACTGTATTTCTCTGTTTATTTTGCTCCCTAGATCACGTTTCTGCGGGGTTTTAACATCTTAAATCTCCCTTCCACAAATTAAGGCCTTAAATCAAAGCAGAAAGTCTTAAATTCGTAAAGTCATCATGGTATTAAATGTTGCATGACCTGCAAAAATAAGTCTATTTGCCAACATGTTTGTCTTGTTTTGTAATATAGATATCTAAACATCCTTAAATCAAGATGCTTGAGATGCAAAATGAAAAAAAGTCTAGTTTTCTGGAAAATTGACATTTGCACTGGGAACATTGCGTTACTGCAGTGAGATCAGAAGTTATTTCCATATTCTAGTTAAGGTGTGTGTGTGTGTGTGTGTGTGT